GGGTCTTATACCATTTCAAATTCTGTATCATTGTAGGACTCTACCTGCTGTTATGGAGGGAAAGTTGTGCCATTTCATAAATAATGGGGTTTAACCTTCACTGAGGATCAGCAGTGGCTTCCTATGCTTTAGATGGGGGAGCATCCTGCCTGGCGGACTACAGCAAACCAGATGATGTGGGTTTTTTCCATGTGGGTTCCCAGTTGGCCTTCAGTTTAAAATACATATTTACAGTATTTTGCATAGGCTATCCAAGTTTTTAGTAACATTTGTTTTTTGCAATGTTTGCCATTCATGAAGTGGTAATTCCAAGGATATCCCTAAATGTCTGGCAAAGCGTTTGAATGGATTCTTGCATCAGCCATTGTGGAAGATTTCCCATTTTAGACCAGGAGGAATTTGCGGGGTCAAATGATGAACAATGGAAGAGATTCTTGCTCCTCGCAAGGCCAGACTAATCCAGTGGCAGTTGAGGGTTTGAATTGTAAATTGAGCCTGTCATCTCCTTGTCAACTCCGAAAAGCCTCCACTCATTTTCTGCACTATTAGAGTTTGTTATTAGGGTTTTGTGTTGTTTTCCAAAAAATTTGAAGGGAAATTAGACTCATGAGGCACTTAAGTGAATCTGGACTTTGGAAAAGAGGAACAAAACTAGTACTATTTAGAGACTTTTAAATGCTTGAAGAGTCGGCCGCAGTTCGGACTGGATCTAAGCAGAGTCGTGAGTTCCCGAGGTGTCCCTCAAAGGGCGCTCGGGGGGGGCCCTCGGCAGCCCGCACACGGCTGATGGACTGGACCTCAGAGGTTTCGGTGCCTATGGCAACATTAACAGACTGATTCGTCATGAATGAACACATCTACATATACACCTTAGTAAAAACTAGCTTTACCTTGTACTTTTCACCAAAAGCTACTTTGATCCCCCCTCCCCCCCAACCCCGCATTAAATCTGGTGAAATCTCTCTTCTGGCCTTAACTGGGAGCAGGTGGAATGAGGCCTGCACAGCCTCTCGCCTCGCGGAAAACTTGGTTCGAGGCCAAGAAGTTGGCGAACCACTGCCTCGGGAGCAGAGAAAAGGCAAGATGGTTGGGATGGTTTATTGTGATGATTCAAGATTCATTACCTGCTCCGCAGGTATTTATTGAACGCCTACTAGGTCAGCTCCGCGCCGTGTAGCCTGGGGTGTGGCGACTTCCCAGAGTGACCTGGGTCGTTGAAACAGCCCGGCTAGTCAAACAACCACACGGGCAATGGGAGGACGAGGCCTGGCCTCTGAGGCCCCGGTGCGGGGCAGCCTGGCTAAGATCACGTCTGAGTAATTCGCCCCCACGTGATGGATGATAAAAAGAATAGACGCAGGGCTTTGGTGGGAGTCTGTGTGAGAGAATAATTGTTGCAATATGTGCTAGAAAGGAACCATAATCATAGACCATGAAAGTGGCTCTTGACTAACACATCAGACCAGATCACGCCCATTGATAAAGGTGATGGCGCCCGCGTGGTCGAGTGGCAGCGTTCAGCAGAACTACTGCCGACACCCACACAGAGAGGAGTGAGCCGGGCCGTGCTGTTCGCAGGGGCCGCACGTGGGGACTGTGGAGCGTCAGAATAAAGCGGCTGAGGGTCACACACGCATATACACACCCACGCAGACCCTATTAATTCCTTAAAACTTATGCTATTTTAGCAAAGGCCGTTTTACCTCAGGACTTCTATTTCAGTGCATTTGGCCCATGGGGTCCATAGTGTGAAGTACATTGATACAGATGCATTTATGTTTGAAAGTAAAATAATCCAATGACAGGTAAGCCTATGGAAGACTGATCTCTAAACTGTCGGATGGCAGACTCTGTATTTCTCTGACTGACATACAGAGTTTCTGTGGCATTCCTCCAAGTGCAACATCCGTGCTATAAAGGTTCAATAAGACAGAATAGATCTACGTGGCTGGCGAAATCTATGTGCGAAGTGAAATAAGCCAGACAGAGGAAGTTAAGGATCATAGGACTTCACTCTTATGTGCGATGTAGAATGGAAAGCAATAAATGAACAAACAAGACAAGCAAACAAATAACAACTCCTAGACGCAGACAACAATATGGCATTGCCAGAAACCAGGGGATGAGGGGGAAGTCAAGAGTGAAGGGGTCAAATACAAGGTGATGGGAGATTTGACCTTGGGTGGTGGGCACACAGTGCGATATACTGATGATGTATCATAGACTTGCACGAGTGGAACCTGTACTATTTTATTAACCAGTGTCACCCCAATACATTTAATTTAAAAGTCTATATGACTGGACCTTGCTCTGCCATCAAAGTATAATTCCATGGTATTTGCTGCAGCTCATATGCAAATGGTAACTAATAATTAATATAAGGCAGCTAATGTCGACATCAAACAGAATTGCTAAATATCACCATTTGGGGCTGTAATTTATGGGAAAAGCCAGCATTTCAGTGGACTTTGGTTTGAGAGAGAATTGTGATTATGGTGGAAAAGTACTTTCTTTTTGTGCATTTTGGGCTGGGCTTGGTCAACCTCTTTTCCCACTTTGGCGTGTTAATGAGTCTCTTCCCTTCAGCAGTAGCAGTTTCTGTCTCTTTCAGCTGGACATTCACCCAATTGTTATTACAAATTACTACTTTCAGTTGTAGGCCGTAAATGTATTTATATGGAACTTCCCCACTTTTACTGTCATGTAATCCTAACGTTGGTCCATAATATTACTAAAATTGGCATTCTTTTGTTACTTTGGCAACTAAAGCTCTTGTGTGGTACTTAAGACTCACCTTAGAGCAAATTCTCTTTTATAAAGAGGGAATAGTTAATATTAAAGTGAGTTTCCAGTAATGCCTGTCCACAAAACCCGCTCCCACTTTCAGACACACACATTTAAGTGCTCAGACCTGTCTCCATAATTTGGAGGCGCCCCACATGCTTCTGGACTGGTCGGCGTGACGCAGGAGTGAGGGGGCTGAAGGCCGATACTCACACCCCCACTGCAAAAAGGAAAAACCGAGTCCTGAAGCAGCTCAGCGGCCTGGCACTGACCAGGCAGGCCCTGGCCACAGGGACAGAAAAGTCCCAGGACAGCGTTTCCAAACCTTTACTAGAAAAACAAGGTATGCTCAATGAGTGTCTCAACCCAATTGCTCTGCTGTTTAGTCTATCCTGGATGAAAATCATTTTTTTTCAGCTTTAAAGTCACCCTTTATTTTGAAGCTTAGAAGGGAAGTGATCAGCATTTACAGTGGAGAGGAGGGATTTTTTTTTTCATGAGAAGTGATGGCAAAATGAAATGAATAATGAGAAAGGAGAAGTTATTTTGATTGCTCATGACTTTTCTCAGACGAGGGCAACTGAGAGCTTCTAAAGTTGGGATTTTTTTTGTTGTTGCTCCTCTAACTATAATAGAGTAAAAGAACTTAACCAATATGGCCGATTCAGGAAAGCTGGAAAGTTACCCTAAGTCACGGTGCTGACAGCTGACCAATGGGAGGTATTGCTAATGGAGACGGCGAAAGGCATTTGCTTGGTGAAAATTGTGCGACAAGGAGAAGCAGTGGTGTGAAGAGGGCTTACATTTTTAAACTTGTTTTGTTTTTTAACATCTGACTAGCAGTGTTAAGGCAGGTTTTTTTTTTTTTTACTTTGTGTTTCATAAAAGCCAAAGTGTGCATTTCCCTAAGAGTATTTGTGAAAGATATTAGTGTGGGGAGGGGGAGGGTATAATGACAAACAAATTAGAACCGGGTTTTCTTTTTCTTTTTGCAAGATAAAGTTTCCTTGTGTGACTATGACACGAGTTGAAGCAGAGCTTGCTCTTCCAGGGGCGAAGGTGGCCTGGGACTACTTTGGAATCACTTACAAGTAGCATTTTAAAGAAACAAATTGCTTCCTGTGCACAGAGACAAAGTAGTAGGTTTCAGTCCCACAGCAGAGCGGTGCAGATTACGTACACGCAGCGTCACCGTTGGCAGAAAGCACGATTTAGTCAACGACTGAAACTGTGTAATAAGTGTGCAGAGTACTTTTTATGATTTTAAAAAATTATGTTACTGTATACATTGGTAACCACAAAACCATATATACTGTACTTTTATGAGCTTTTGGGAAGATTTGCAAAGGTAATTTCGATTAAGTTCAGTTTTTGCCTAATGAACTTAGCTTAAAACTTAACCCTAACATCAGAAAAGACCACGCTGTAATTTTAATACGTCCGAGATGCTAACACGGGTTTCTCCCTGCGAAGCTACCTCATTCCAGGTAACTTAGCTACATCAGAAGGGCAGTCGCCGTAATCTAATATTAATTTCAAACCAGCCCATAAAGCCAAATTAACAAAATATCCAAGGTAATATATCTTTTTGTGTTTTGATTTGTCCCTACATACCTTGGATAATTTTTGCTGGAGCATCATCGAATGCCTGAGGTGAAAGGGATTTTGAGGCCATAGCTTTCACCAGAGGCCTTTGCTAAGTTGGCTGCGGACCTCCTTGCATCCCTTGGTCATTCTGAAGCCCACTGGGTGAGGTGAGCACTAATGAATTATTTGACCCGTTGCTCAGGCTGGTCCTCACACTAATGATTGTCCAGTTACTGCCCCTGCTCTTCCTGTCCTGAGTGGCCAACTTCCAAGGCCACGGGGGAACTTGGCTTTGGAATCGACGTGTGCAGGTGGGTTCTTACCTGGTAGGAACAGAGTCTGGGTGTTATTCCACAGGCAGGGTTTCTGCTGCACAAGCCCATGGCATTTTTCTTTAAAATAGGGTACATAGGCACCCCAGAAAGTATCAGGAGCCGCACAGCAGCGGGGCTCACGGCCTTCAGCAAGGCATGGCCAGGGCTCCTGTTCATGTTTTTCTTGTCTGATCTGGGAACCGGCACAGAGAGGGGCTCCACGCGGCGGCTGCCCTTCTCACGTTTCTCATGTAGAAGCAGTGGTTATTCACGGATTTCTGTTTTTCCTTCCTCCCTCTCCCCTTGGCCCTTCAGATTTATGAGGAATCCAAGATGAATTTGGAGCAGGAGAGGCCGTTTGTCTGCAGTGCCCCGGGCTGCTCCCAGGTGAGTGTGGGGGCCCGCTGCTGTGTCTTCCAGGGACGTGCTGGCCTACCTTCCAGGAGGGAAGCGGCTCTCCTGGGCAGTCACGCCTGCTTTGGGCTCTCCTTCTCCACCGAGGTATCCCCAAAGTCCCCCTCACCGCCATCATCCCTGTCACCATTGCTGCTGCTTTTCATTTTGAACCGCTGGAACTACTTCCCTCCTAGCCCCTGAAAACCATCGGTGTTGGCCATTCCCACCCATAACCCCTCCCTGGAAGTGAGCCAGGCACGGCTCGCCCGCCAGCGGTCCTGGTTAGTCGTTTCAGAAAGCAGAGCAGGAGGGCTCCCGCTTTTACAACAACCGCTTGAACACAGCCCCCTGGATGACCGGCGAGCCAGCTCACCATCAAGCGGTTGAATTCTGTTTTGTCTTGCTGTCCCATTTGAGTTAACTAAATCCCCTTATAACTGTTTTAAAGCCTACAGTTTTTCTATGTATCTAACCCTTAAGAGGGGAAGTTGGCCTCCTGGTGTTAGATTAAAGCTCTTTTAACCTCTGATGACTCCCGTCACGTGGAATCGTGAGCACTAGAGGGCACGCTGCACGCAGTGTGGTAAAGGGCCTGCCTACACCATGTGCTCAGTTCACGCTTGCTGCTGTCACCGTTACTGCCGCTCATACGACCCTTACGCTGGAACCTATCTCTTTGGGAGAAACTGGAAACATCCATCGCCTAACATCAGAGTGCTGCCCATTAGCTTTGGAACTTGACGGTGACTTTTTTATGCATGCCCCTTTGAATGTCTTCTTGTTCCAGTCATTGGAAAACGACCACAGATGACCACTCTCACACCAAGATTTTCGTTCTATAGGATACAGGACAAGCTTAGAGAACAGGCGTCTTTCCAACAAGGGTCGTTACACTCACTTTTTCCTTAAAGTGCTCACTCTCTTGCCTGTTTACGCGATGGGGTCGGCAGCACAGTGTGGAGCAATGTCTGGGGGTCCGGGGAGAGGTGATGCCCATGGAGGACCCTTCTTATTCCAGCTTCCCAGAGAGTCTGGAGGGCCTGGGAGCCCTCTGGAGGGAAGAGGCCATTGCAACACGCCACGTTGTTTCTGGTGCTGCCTGGTGGTGCCGCTGGCGGTGTCACTGGTGGCCTCTGACTGAGCACCCAGAGTCCCCTGCCTGGGTTCCGGCCAGCTCCGGGGGCTTTTTCTATGAAGGTTGATTTGCAGCCTGTAAATAAGAAAAGCAGTATAGAAAGTGACTTTGAATTTAAACTGTTTTCCAGAAAACTGGTCTTGGAGATCATTTTGAAATAGTAAACACTGGGAAAACATAGATGGCTTGACACGTAACTGGGAAACACTCTGCTAGAGCAGAGCTATCCCTTGTGAATGCAAACGTGCCCTTACCTAAACCAGGCCCAACAGGTTCCCACTCAGTTTCCTGGGGGAAAAGTCTTAACAGCCAAAGGGAATCCGATGATTTGAGCAGTTTGCTCTGCTTTAGCTGTGAAAATGTGACCTTAAGGTTTATTCGGTCCAAATCACTCAACACATTTTGGGGAGCTCACTATGTGCTTAAGATACATGTAACCCCTGTTCTCACAGAGCTTCCAGTCTGGGCATCAAATTTGTAATCACATAATCAATTAATTAATTGATTTGTGAATTACAAGCTTCCATGGAGGAAGGGCACGGGCTGGGTTGAAGAGTATCACAGGGGGATTTACTCGGGGAGGGTGATGGGGCTTCTCTGTGGAAGAGGCACTTACAGGAACGGCATCCTCAAGAGAGCCAGCGGAGACCAGTGAGGGTTCAGAGTGAGCTAGGATTCCAGCAGGATCCAGGGTTGTGAACGACCGTTGAGAAGAACCTTTTGGGGACAGGTTGTTAGTCACGTTTAATATTTCGATAAGTCAGGGAGACGAGAACCGCACGGAGGTCATCAGACCCTGTGGCAGAATTTCCCAAGCTTGGCATTGCTGACATCCGGGGCTAAGTAATTCTTGGGGGGGTGGGGGGGGGTGCGGGAGCTGAGCACTGCAGGGTGTTCAGCAGCACCCCGACGTCTGTCTGCTAGCTCCCAGCAGCACTCCTCAGCTGCGAGAAACAAAAATGTCTCCAGGCATGGCTAAGCGTCCCAAAGGGCCCAAGGCTGAGAACGGCTGCCCGATGGTGTGCCTTTCGGCGTTACCCTTCTTTCTTTTCGGATCCCTCCCTTTGCGGGGGCCACTAGCTTCTCACCGAGGCTCTCCCCTGCGTTTCGTATTTTGCCCTCAGCCACCTTCTCTCCGTTTTGGAATCAGGCAGTGTATAAATAAATAAATGCCACAGACGTGTGGTCACTGGTGTCAGACGCGGGGAGAGCTGGGACAGCAAGAGGCCGGAGCGGAGGCTGTTGGATTTGGCAGTGGGCGCTTGCCGGCGACCTATGAGAGAGGAGTCAGGGTGGGGGCCCGATTGGAAGGGACAGACCAGCGAGTGGGTGGTGAGGAAGTGGAGGTGGCCAGCATAGAGGCCTCTTTCAAGAGCGCTGGGGAGTGACGGGAAGCAGAGTGATATAATGGTAGCCTGAGAACGAAGCTGCTTGAGAGAGGTTCTTTTTTAAATTAGAGGCTAGCCAGGCTGGATTTAGTCGAGGGCAAGAAGGAGTGAGCTCGCTGGCTTGAAGGACCACAGCTGAAGCCCCAGCCCCGGGGAGATATGGGGTGTAGAGGATCCTGCGGAGAAAGGGGCTGCTTATCCCTCTGCGACAGGATGGGTGGAAATAGGCTCTGCGAAGTTACATCAGATTCTGAGGTGGGGGTGGTAATGCGGGGTGAAGGGGGTGCCTTTTGAACGACCTTGAACTTCTCACTGAAGGAGCAGGCCATTTCCCTGAGAAGGCCGGGTGGGCTGAGTAAAAGGTTAGACGAACATGAGAAATGAGGGTCTACATAGTTTCTTGGTTTTAAGGTAAAACTTGAAGCCTCTCCTCGCAAGGCATTGCCAAACTTAAGTGTAAATAAAGATGCACCTACCACTTGATGTCTTTATTGGATGTGGATGTGCTTCTTTTCCTTGACAAGCTGTTACAAAAACACGGGAACTTTCCAGTTGAAGAGGTATGGAATGTAGTAGTTCCCTCGAGATTCCAGGGGTCTCCCAGGGGAGTCGCTGTGATCATGGCATGAACTTGAGTGACATTCCACAGCCTGGGGCCCTGCATGGACAGGACAGGACCACTGGGAATTGGAAAGGGGAGTAAATATGAGTTAACAGTCCTGCATCAGGGATGGCGGAAAGGTTTTCCTCCCTTTTCTGTCATTGGTAAAAAAACTCTGCTCTATGAGGAATGGCCTATAGTACGTACCCGGGAGAGTACTTTTTCTGTTATAACTCCTTACACATTAGCTTTGTCCCAGAAGCAACGAGACACAAGCTTCTCTTCCTCTTCCTGATCTCACCAAGTCCAATGTTAATGCCACTGTTCCTTGGCCTCCGCATTAATCGTGTTTGGAGTTCCAGTGGCCTCTCTCAGCTCTGTCCCCGTTACACACAGTACATTTTGGTTATTTAATAATTTGCTGGTAGGTTCCTACCAAATTAAAAGCGACATTACAGCTGTCCTATGTTGTCTCTTGCAAAGTTATTATAGTCAATATGAGATATTATGGAATCTATTGTTGTTCAAAAAGTTTTCTAATTAATATTCTATTTTAGGCTATTATGTGAAGACAAAAAAGGTTTATAGGTACAGAATGAAGGATATTGCTGTGTTGTGTGTTGATTATGTACAGGGTCTGGCAGAAGTAATACCTGCTTGAATGTGGTTAGTAGGATAATAATATGAGTGTATTAATTTATAGTTTTAATTTGAACATTTTGTCTAAAATGTCATATGGTGTGCTGGAGGGTGATATTACTATATTATGTAATTACATGCCCGTGATTTGGTAATAAAAAGGGGCATTATTTGTGCCAGATTCTGTATCTCACAGAAAAAATTATTATAAGGCTTTTGAGAGGGAGACTAAGAAATTTAACCTGTGCCCCTAGAGCACACTCAGTAATGGCGCATAGTTGATGCAGCCGTCGTAAGGTGTTAAAGAAGGCCAAGAGAAGAGGTGAACATGTAGCAAAAACCCCACATGTCATTATAAATCAGACTTTTGTGTGTTCAGTATCTGGTATAATTACCATGCTTTGCAAATTCTATACTCTCCAATTTATATGATACAAATGACATATAAGTGAGTGCTATTTATCTGAAAAAAAAAAAAAACAACTACTTTTAGAATGTTCCAGAGGATTTAATCCACAAGTTCCCTTTCTCATGAACATACCATACTCTTTGCAGAATAGAGTTCTGCCATTGTAACAATGATAATTGAAATTTATAATGACTATCTCCAGGGACTGGGAAGCTCTGGAAGGCTTTCTAAATTGTCAAAGACTCGGAAATGTTCAGCGGAGTTTGTTGTCTTTCCTTGTATTTTCATTTGACTTTGATAAAGCAGATCCTCTGTGAAGTCCAGTTATTAAAACAGACCCGTCTGAGTCAGTACAGGCTGGGATCTCCTACAATAACAAACCAGCGGAACACTTCAATGGCTTAAAACAACAAAGGCATATTTCAATTGCCCAAGCACACAGCTCTACTGTAGATCAGCAAGATGTTCTTCATAATCCTTCAGAATTCAGAAATGGTCTTCGTGGTCTCTCAGAGAGCAGGGGGACTGAAGGGCCACTCTTTTCAATAGTGTGAGCCACCTCGCTACAAGGAAGAGGTAGGGGATCTCCAGAGTGTCTCGCACCGAGAATTAGATGCTCACATCTGGGTGACATGTCACTTTGTCACTCAATGGGCAGCACTTGTCAGATGGCCCCACTCGACCACAAGAGGGCCAGGAAACACGGTCCTGCTGTGTGACCAGAAGTCAGCTGAAAATTTTGGGGAGCAGCGTTTTGACAACCACATTATCTTTTGAAAATTAAAAGTAAAGTGTTGGAAAAAAAATAAAATAAATGGTTGGTTTACTACACTTACACAGTATAGGATACCAAAACTAATCTGTCACATTTTTACAAATCGTATGTATAATTATAAAAAATCAGATAATGGGTATGCAAGGTCTTTATAACAGAAATATACTATATAAATGTCACTGCACACAGTGTATGTATGCATTATGCATGCATGCATGCATGTATGTATGTAAATATTGAAGTAGTTCTGTCCCAAAGTCTGACATGAGCCAAAATTCTTTTCCTACTTCATACATTTCTCCCACTTTTGGTTAATCTATAGATGATGTCTAACATACTTACTACACCTTAGACCTAATTTTACACCATTATATATAACAGTAACTACTAGAGAAAAGTTCCAAATAGTCTTGTAAAACTGTGGTGCTACTCAGGTCTAAATCCACTTTCTTATTTTGGACGTGGTTTTCTCATATGTACAGATAGAAATGGGGGCATTACTTTTTCAGGTTAGTTATTCTTTGTAATCACAAACATTTATTTAAGCACTCTTTTATTCTTTAAAAGCACCGCATATTTCTCTTGTATATATTATTTTACCACTTTCAACATTATTTACTTACTTCTTTCTGTTGTGTCCTTTAAATAAACACAAAGTTAAGGTCTTCCCTGCGACACAAAACTCTGGTTCCCAAGGAAACATCCAGTTTACTGATGACTCATCACAGTTGTTTATATTCAAGTTTTTATGACTATGTTTAAGAATAAAAGGCCTTCGGAAGGAATTCCCAGAGAAGGTGTGGGGAGTCGGAGAATAGTAGGAGGCAGAGATCTTCCATGTCTTAAGAGTATTCGGCCAGATTTTCCCACAACGTAGTGAAGGCCCCGGTTAAACATAAATGGAGATGATGATGCGTATATTTGGGTGTCATTCAAAGGGTCATCCCGGCACATTTGCTCACATGAAATAATTTGCCATTTCACTCACTCCTGCTTTCATACTTTTTCAGAACGTGTTTTATTCCGTCTGTCGCGTTTGCAATGCTGAATAAGTCTTTTTCTATAATAGCAAATATATATCACCAAACTGAATGGCTCCTCTCTCCTCTCCCTCCTTTTCTATGTGTCCGACAGCGCTTCCCAACAGAGGACCATCTGATGATTCATAGGCACAAGCATGAAATGACTTTGAAGTTCCCCTCGATAAAAACAGACAATATGTTATCAGGTAAGGAGCCGTCAGGCAACGAGGCTTTGGGTGACGAGCCCCCAATGCTTGTGATAGGATGATGTCCACTAGCAAATTCCGTGCCTTGAAAATATCTCTTTCTAAGATGTGAAAGCAACTTAAAGTAACGGTAAGCAGAAATGTAATCAGCTCTTGTCGTGTTCGCTCAAATAATGGAAGAGTCGGGACTTCTCATCTTCTGGCGTGTAAATATTTATTACTCTAAAACTTGGCTCCATATAACTATTTTTAGAAGCACACGCCTGTCATCGGACAATGAATATCAACCGAGCATCTCCAGTGCACACTGCACAATTCAGAGTGACATGCAAGGTGCAGAAACTGACCTGGTTCCTAGTCTCAAGGACGTCACCGTGTAGATGCGCGTGAAAACTGAGCTAAAGCAGAGGTCTGTCCGTGAGAGACAGATGGTCCCCGACTTATAATGGTTCCAATTATGATGGTTCAACCTATGATTTTTTGACTTGGTGATGGTGTGAAAGAGATATTCATTCCACAGAAAACAAACTTCGCATTTTGGATCTTTTCTCAGGCTAGCAATGCAAATACAATAGTCTCTCGTGATGCTGGGCTGAGGCCGTGAGCGGCGGCTCCCGGTCCGCCGCACGGTCATGAGGGTCAGCAGCTGGTACTCCAGAGCATACTGTGCTGTCAGTGGTTTTTGGATATTGTGTTTTGTGTTTTCTCATCCCGTCATGTCTGCAAAATGCTCTCTCGTGTCTCCTGCTTCTGGTGAGAAGAAGAAGGCAATTACTCTTGGGATCAAATTCAAGATAATTGCCCAACTGAAGGCCAAGTATTCTGAGCACGTTTAAGGCAGGCTGGGCTAAGCTAGTGTGTTCGGTAAGTCAGGTGTATTTAATGCATGTTTGACTTGTGATATTTTCAAGTCACGGTGGGTTTATCTGGACGTCACCCTATCCTAAGTACAGGAGCATGCGTATATCAAATGAGTGTTGCAAGGAGAAATGCTATCCAATTTTAGTAGAAGGAGCTCTCTTTTTGGGCTGAGGCAGTCAGTGAAGGTTTCCTTAAGAAACGGTAAACCATCCCCGCTCCGTAAGTCGGAGATTAAAAGAGGTGTGGGAACATAGCAGGCGCTCAGCAAACGTAAGCAGAAATAAAGAGGAATAATTAATGCATAAATTAATTGCCATTCCTTCCCAGTTTGATGGGTGGTACGGTAAATTAAAAGGAGTGCAAGGCCAGGGGTGAGGGAACTTGAACTCTCTCTGGCCTGGGCCCTGCCTCTACCAGCCTTCTGACCTGAAGCGAGCTAGTGAACCTCTCTGGGCCTCGGTTTCTTTTTTCATAAAAATGGGAATGATTTAACGTGCTAAGTCTATTTCATAGGCTCATCGTGAAGACTCAATGAAAGGATGTGAATTAACGCAGTTCATCAGTCCTGGCAGGGTAATGGAAGCATTTCCCGATACCCTTCGGGGGCTAGAAGTATTTCCCCCGAGCTGCTGTCTCCCTGGCACTGGGAAAGAGATGAGACCCCTGTGAGCCTGGTATAACGATATCAGAAGCAAAACTGGCCACCCTGGCTATTATAATTTAGCATTTCTATGGTGCTTAAAATTTTACAAATATGTTGTTGTTATCCCTATTATTAGTAAACCCTCTAAGAGTTGGTGAGATTATTTCTACAACCCGTATTTTGGTGATGGTGGAGGAGGGGCACAGGGAGATTGTGCAGCTTTCTCAAGCTCACCAATCAGGGCAAAGATGAGGGTCCTCGATCCTGCGCCCCTGACCCACTGACCTGCACTGGCCACTGTGCTGTCAGGTCCTTCCCATTTATATACGAAATCAAATACTCCTGGTGACAGAGTCGTCCACACAGCTTTACAAACCCACCAGTGGCTTGCAAGTGCACTGTGGTTTGGAAGACTGTCCAAGTTCAAAAGCATCCTCTTCCCTTCCCTCCACCACCACCTACCACCCACCTACCACCTATCAATCACCTCTCTCTCAGCCTGTTTGTTTTTTATTGAACAAGCTGGCCCTTCAGGAATACTTTTGTCTGAAGCCTAGAAACAGAAATGCAGAAACTCATTTGTAAGAATTATAAAAGCTACAAGGGTTAAGATGGATGGCCTATTCTTCTGTTTTTATCACTTACTATTTTCTGTAGAATCACCTGTACTCCGACTTCCTAGTTGAACAGCGAATGTAGGTCTGCAAGTATCAAGGTTGTAGACTTAGTTAAATTCATAAGTTCTTCCTTTACTTTTCCCCAATAGGATCCCCAAAATAGACCTCATGGGGGTAGGGGAGTGGGAGGTGACTATTAGGGAATGGTAATTATATGGAGATATGACTCATATAGTGGTAAAAACTGATATAGTATCTTACAGGCATGGTGCTAGTAAGTGCTACAAGAAGTCCCATCTGAAGGTCTGGAAAACAGCAGCTAAAGATCTGTGAACACTTCAATAGAATGCCTATAAGCAGGTTTCTGATTAAGTTCTTGCAGCATTTCAGTTGTTCTTATCGGATCCTTACTAATTCGAGGTTGCTGCTGCCAATAGCTGGCAGTGCCAGGTGGAGAAATATTGGGAGAAAAGCCACACTAATTTTTATGATGTCGAACTTGGAATAAGACAGTGAAGGGAGAAATAAATGAGGAGAAATAGCATGAATAATATATTGGCACATTTTCTTCTGCTCTCTCATGTTTTATGTTGGAGCTGGTATGAGGCCATTTCACATTCTCAATAAAATTAAGTGCTAACTTTTCAAACTTGCCACCTGCTCTGCATGTTTGTGGTCTGGTAGAACTTTCTTGCTGGATGGAATACAGTGATATCAGTCCAGCTCTGTTACTTTCCATTTGGAGGACTGAGGTGCACTACGTGCCATATGCCGATGTTGACTGCCACAGTGAATTGTAGCGGGCTGTCCGTCGGGTACTTTTGCTTTGCTGTTCATTTTTATCTGAGAAAGACTTCTATGTGTATTCATCCCAAAGTCACTGTAGTTTTAGCATATTAGAGTGTGCTTGCAAATATGATGGAAAGTTTTACTTTCCTTATCTTGATTTATTTAGATTTGAATTTATCAAAAGCTTTAGAATCTATGCTTATTAAAAATAGATTTCTTAAAATTTTTATTCTTAAAGTACTTAAAGCCTAGGTTGTGGCCTATCATGAAGATGAATGCTCTTATACAGTTTGAAATACACTAATAAAAACAGTATAAACCAAATCTTAAATCAGTAAGCATCAGCAGGGCAAAACTTTCCAGGTCCCTCTTGGGCCCTTTTTTTAAAGCAATATTTAATTACACAAAGTTTTATTCCAGGTAGGCTAGGGTCTGATATATATTAAGAAGGTAAAGCATAGTAGGTAGGTATGTTCATTACTAATTTCGGGATGTCCAGTTAACTTGCATTATAGAAAATGACTTCATCCTTTATTAATTACAAATGTTAAAGTTAGGAAGGTTAAAGTTAGGAAATGTTAAAGTTAGGAAGGTTATGAAGACACCATAGATACTCTTCAAGGAAAAATGTCCAAAAGAGCTGCAATACCTGAAATACTACAGCTTGGACACAAAGTCCACTTTATTTAGGCCAGGTAGAATTCACTGCCCAAAATGATCTTTGATGTGCCACAAGGCAGGATAGTGAAAGTGGCAGTCGTATACAGGGTCCAGCACAAATAATGTCCCTTCCTTATTACAAAATATTTTATTGCAAACTCATGCGCACGCCATTCTGTAACGTAACAAATCACACTCAGGCACATCCTACGACATGTTAGGTGAAATGTTCAAATTGCTGTCAGTCTCATGCAAGGCATTCACGTACCCCACCAACCACACTCAAACAGGTGTTACTCCTCCCGGACCCTGTATTTATTAAGATGAGTCTGCTCTTACGGACAGACAGCAAACATAAAGAACTCTCATTCTAAAGGGCCAGGACTATAGGGACATGAATGAGGCCGGTCGTTTGGGATCCTGAGGCTAAAACTTAAATCCCTTCCCACTTTGATCCTTCTGTTCTTATTTGATCAAGGTGGTCCATTTCTAGAGTCCTGATGTTATGATGGACATACCTTACTGTCAGCTGTTCTTGATCTGACAGATGACAATTTCATGGTGAGGGGAGTTGTGATATAAAGGTTTTTAGATGCCAAGTTTAAAATGGGAATCCACTGAGGCCAATATACTTCCACACACAGGTTGCAAAATTACCAGCTACTAGGCAAGACAAGATCTGGTTTCGTTTGAAAATATGATCAAATTTCAGTATTAAAGGTAAAGAGGATGATGCGTGGGTCTATTTTAATGGCGTTATCACCCAGCAATTCCCAAATCTCATCCTGTCAGAAATCCCCACCCCCACTTATTTGCAGTCGTCTCCAGGTTCCGTACAGGAATTGATGGGCAACTTTATTTGTAGCTGAACAAGCAAATAACATTCCACATGAGAACTCTGTGTGCATGCTGTGTGTTGGCAGAACGTGGTGGGAGTTTTGGCTTAGAAGATGATGACTTTTGCTTCATGGTGGGATTACTAGGCATTTAAAGAAATGGACCCATGTGTCTTTTTTCCTTAGACTTCCCACCAGAGGTGTTGATTGGGTTACACCTTTTAAGGAAAGGTGAAAGTTCAACACTCGTGAACTTATTCATTCATTCGACAAACACTTAATTGAGTGCCTACCAGGATCCTGTTGCGAGAGGCGCTGAGAATGCTGCAATGAACAAGACGGACGGGGTCCCTCTTCCTTGGAACTCCCTGTCCTCTGTTGGGAGTAGGGAGGGCGAAAAATAATAGACAACCCCAAGCCCAACCCCAGATAAAGAAGAAAATATTCTTTACTGAGACAACCCTCTCCCCAGATAAACAAGAACATACTCGTTAGTGAGACAGGCTGGATGAAGGTAAAACAGGACAGAACACAAGGGGCACGCGGGCTGCCCCAGGGGGGTTGGGGAAGGCCCCTCTGCCTGGGTGGCATTTC